CAGGGCGGGGCACCCTGTCCGTGGGAAGGATGACTGTGGGATCCTCCAACGAGCCCTCCGAAGGGGACCCGCCTCCCACCCTTGCCCCAGCGGCGTATTGGGAGGGCCAAGCAAGGGGAGGCGAGGCGACGAGTTCGCGGCGCGCAAAAGGGGGATGGCGCGAGGGGGGGGGCTGCCCTCTAAGAAGGTCGGGGAGATTCTGCACAGGCAGGTGGCCTCTTGGGAGGGCCATGCAACTTTCGAGAAGACGTATTGGAAGCTTATGAGAACACCCCCTGCTTTTGTGTAGACTTCAGCCGCCTACTTAGCAGGCCGCCCCGCCGCCTCCCTCGCCCCACCCACATGCGCACGCCGCCGAACGAGTGAGGTGAAGGAGGGGCAAGGGGAGGGGAGGAGGAGGAGGAGGAGGAGGAGCAGGAGGAGGAGGAGGAGGAGGAGGAGGAGCAGCAGGAGGAGCATGAGGAGGAGGAGGAGGAGGAGCTGGACGAGGAGGGGGAGGAGCTGGACGAGGAGGGGGAGGAGGAGGAACGGAGGATGAGGACGAGGAGGACGATGAGGAGTAGGATGAGGACGAGGAGGAGAAGGAGGAGGAGCAGGAGGAGGAGGAGGATTACGAGGAGGAGGAGGTCCGATGCGGCACTGCATCAGTCTGTGCATCAAGCACTGATGGCTCATATCTTCCCAGAGCCAAGGGAAGACCTGGGTGCGCGACCCTGCCCGCCCCCGGAATCGATGGGGGGGCACCTGGCGGGAGCCTCGAGACGGGGGTCAATGCAAACGGGGGTCAGCCAGGGCGCCAGATCCTGGAGGATCCTGCGACGACCCCCTCTGGCTGACCCGGGTTAGCGAGCCGCTCGTGGCCGCGAGGCGGCCGCGCGTATTGGCTGACCCGGGTTTGCGAGGACCTGCGTTGCAGCTTTTTTTTCCTGCATTGCAGTTTTTGGTTTTCTGCTGACCCGGGTCTGGATTGACCCGGGTCAGAAGATCCCGGACCTAGAGGAGGAGGGAGGATGGATGAGTAGGGATGTTCGGAGATTGAGGATCGAGTTCCGAGGGTTGAGTGTTTTGAGTATGCTTGTTGTACCCTGTGGGGCACATGTTGGCCTCGGGGAGGGGGCACTTCTTCGCCACAACTGCATCCACTGCGAGCATCTGGACAAACCGCACCCCATGACGGGTGCGCGGGGGCGCCGTTTTGGGGGACAGTAGGACCAGGTCGGGTGAGAGAGGGGGCAGAGAGCTGAAAGAACACAACGACGACGACGACGCCGCCGATGGGGCTGGCCAGCCTCTCAGGCAGCTCCGCCAGCATCCGCCTGGGGAGAGCGAGAAGCGGCTCGCCCCGCTGATCGAGCAGGTCCTCGCAGGGCAGGGTGATATCGGTGCGTGCGCGGGCGGGAGCGAGGCAGGGAGGCAGCGGGAACGGGAACGGGAATGGGTCGAGCTCCGCGAAGGGCAAGGCGGCGAGCCGCCCCAGACCACGCCGAGCGCCTCCTCGTCCGAGCCGTCGTCGAGACCAGCGGAGGGGCGGGCCGCCGTGCGCCGGGGCTCCCGCACCTCGTCGTACTCGTGCAGAATGAATGGGAGGGGGATGAGGGTCGGGCCAGGGCTCCCAGTCCGCTCTTCCTCCCTCAATGAATGTCCTCATGAACAACTTGTCCCTGACGCGCCCAGAGTCCGGTCGAAAGGGCGGGCCGGGCGCTTTGCCCAAGAATTCCTCACGATATATGATCCTGAAGCTTAGATATTGCAAGTGCTTCACGGATGAAGGGTGTCCCGTTTTCAAGATGTGGTTATCGCGTGAATGCCGCGCACATTCGATTTTAAAGTGTGCAAGAGTTTCGTAGATGCAAGGCGGCCCGTTCTCAACGTGTTGTTTTCGGTGCAGCGCCGCGCAAGTCTTTGACAACAGTTTTCCAGAGCGTCACGGATGGAGAGCGGTTTCTTTTCGCTTTGGCGCCGCGGACATGCGTCTTAAGAGTTTGAAGCAGCTCCAAGAACTCATTTGGTCAACGCACCAAAAATGGTGAGTTGGCACGATGTCACAGTGTCAGAGCGCAACAGTCACGTTGACTCGGTGCGTTGAGGGCCCAGGAATCGCGTTCCGTCGCGATTCAGGATCGTCAAGATGCGAAAGCAACGGTAATTCGGCGTTGATGTATCAGGAACAACTGTCCGGCCCAAGTCCGGATTTTCAAACGGTTATGTTAGGGGCAACTCCCACAGTGAAAATTAATCCGTGTAGTGGCCTTGCAGAGATATTTATTCAACTCTTTCTCCTCCTCCTCTTCCTCCTCCTCGTCATTCGCTGCCATTTTGGCTCAAGGTGAGGACACGCCTCATTTGAGCGCGGCGGCCCTCTTTTCTGGGCTTTCTTGAGGTCAAGCTCAGGCGGGCACCCTTTTAGTCTTCCTTTCTTACTTGCCGCTCATGCCTCCACGTGCGAAGCGTGCGAAGCAGGGTGACGAAGCCAGCGCCATGGAGTCGAACGCAGTTCAAGAGTTGGAGCTTGCATTGCAGAATCAACTCGCTGACCAATGGAAGGCATTGCTCGGCCAGCTCAAGGCGAATATTGACTCGCTCGTTCGGAGTGTCACAGATGTCCAGAATCAGATCGGTGAAGTCGAATTGGCCCACCATGAACAAGTATTGGATGTTCAAGCCCTACGCGTGCCGATCGTGCTACGCAGAAGGCGGAGTTCATCCAGCTCAAGAACAAGCTTGAGGCTCTCAGTGTTGCGCCTTTGGTTGCATCGTCTTCTGGAGGTGGTGATGCTGGAGATGCTGGTGGGGCCGGTGGCCTACGTGCTCCTCGCTACCAGCAACCTGAGCATGCACGTGATGCGCAGCCTGAAGATCTGTGCACCAGGTGGATTGGCTCTTGGCCCCGCGCTGTGTTGGAGTCCACCCGCACTGCATTCCACGACGCGCTGAAGGACAGGTACCACGTCCTGCTGAAGGCGACAGTCATTTCCATGCCCAATATGGGCAAAGCGTACAACATCCAGTTCCCGAATGCTGCGCAGGCATCCCAGTTCCAGGCCGCCTTCAACAATGACGGCCACGAGTGGATGGATCGGTGGCATGCGACATCTACTAACACCACCTGTCGTGGAGACAGGCCTCTTCCCGTTCGGTTTCGCTCCAGGTCCTTCGCGAAGATCTACCCTCGTGTATTGGCTGAGCCTCAGAAGTCGGCCATGCGGTCTCCCAAACATCGGCTTGGAGTTAATAGCAATCGCGGTGTTTTCGATGTGCTGGACGAGACGGGCATTGACGAGCTGGTAATGTGCGAACACAGCGGCGCCGACGTCGAGGCTTCTTGCCGAGCCAGAAAGCTCTTGAGATCTGGGGCATCAGCGGGGCCAACACCCAGGAGTTTATCGAGTCTGCCGCTCTGTGACTGGATGTGGTTGGTGTCTGTCACTTGCGTATCTCCCTGCCGCCTTCGGCTGCCGTTCGGCTTGGGGTTGGAGTCATCGGGGGCGCCTCCCAGTACAAGCAGTTCCACCAGCGCCTCCAGTTCCAGCTTGCCCTCCTCTTCCTCTGCTGGGCCCTCTGGGTCGCCTGTGCGTTTGGCACTCCCCATTCGCTCCTCCTCCGCCTGGCCAGGATCTGTGCAGTTCTCCCTTCTTTCCTCCATGGGGAATACCTATGGTTACCTGGAATATGCACACTGTTTGGTTGCATATGGGCCAATCACGGGACTAATCTGATATAGTGGCGGAGCTTAAGCATCTTGGGGAGGCATCTGGTATCTTAGGCTTACCAGGGACTCATGGGGGCCCGGAAGATCTGCTAGAACTCTCACGCGTTTTCCCTGCCCACAGGTGCTTCGGAACCTTCAATCCTGACGAGAACTCTGGAGGTGTGGTTCTGATGATTCATGAGCGCACTGCTCGCTTTTTTTGATCGCTTCGAGCCCCTGGAGCTGATTGAAGGCAGGTGTCTCTCCCATGATCTTCGAGGGGAGCATGGGCGGCTGCACCTGACCCTTGTATTCAGCTCCCTGTGCGGCGCCAGCTATTGCAGTGTATCCTGGACTATCCCCTTTCAATACTCCTCTATCAACTTCATTGGCGGCGATTGGAGTTTCTTCGAGGAAGGTGAGTCTCGTCTTCGGCTTGACTCTTCGTGCTCCACTACCTCGTTCTCTGCCTCTCTTAGTAAATTCTTCGTCGATAAGTTCGCCGGGTTCCGTGGCGTTGACCAGCCTGGCCATGCCCATAAAGTAGCTGCAGTCCTTCCTACAATCACTTGCTAGACTTGGTCGCATTCATATTGGGATGCCCTCTCATTGTCTATTGAATCTCAACCCGATGTCTGGGGCATGCTGGCCCATCGCAGACCCGAAGGCCCCGCCCGACCATCGCCCCGCCCTCATTGCCCTTGGCCCGCAGCGGGGGCAGCGGGCACCCATTTCGAGGCGGGTTTCCCGCCCGCGTCTTTTTCGCCAGATTTCTGTTGGAGCTGATGGAGGAGGTCGACCTCTCATCAGGCCCGCTCCATCGAGCTCAAGAGATTAACTCCCTGATGCGCGAGGCAAGCTCTCGCGCGAAGAAGAGAAGAGAAAGCCTCGGCCCTGGGGCCGCGGCTGCTAAGCTGGCGCGGACGGCCGCGCTCGTTCGAGCCCATCGGGGCGGGCGTTCCAGGGCCGCCTCGCGAGCGAGCCATGCTTCTTTCTTCTCTGAGCTTGCAGGGTAATAAGATGCTTGGAACATGATTTGGCTGGATGTCCTTGGACTTGCCGGCGCCACTGCGAATTGCAGCGCGAAGTTGTTTTTCGAGGGGGCCTCTGAGGATGTAAGTGTCCAGGGGCCAAAGTATTCACCGTCAAGTTGAAGGCGAGCGTTTGGGTCGTCTTGCTGAAATTTCGCGCGCCTGGGCCCCTGCACGTCGCAAACTCGAGCTGCGCGGCGATGTTGACTCTGATGGGGCAGTCCGCGTGAACCTGAATCGCGCGCAGCTGCTCGCTGCCAAGTTCACGGGCGACGTCGCCAAGCCTTTTGATATTTCAGGAAGGTGCTGATCCTGATGCACTACCTGAGCCGCTGGCCTCCCTGCCCCGTGGGCTCGACAATCATTTTCAGGAAGTGCCGGCTGATATCCAGTGGCGCCTCTCCCGCGAAGAGTTCCACCAGCTGATGCAGAAACGGAAGGACTCGGCCCTTGGTTGACGGTCTCCCTTGCAGTGTTTGCGCGCGTGGTGTTGAACAGTGTTGGGGTACCCTTTATGGCTTGCATGATGCCATCTGTTCTGACGGATCTCTATCGGCGGCGTTTAACGGGTCTCTGGGAGTATTTCCTGCTAAAGGCGACCCAGACTCCAACGCCTTTCTCCAGCAGCGCAGCGTTTAGAAGGCGAGGCGCCCGTCCTTGTCCAGCGCCGACGAGAAAATTCCCGCCGCAGACCTTGCGAGGCCCTTGTGTGACGCGGGAAGGAGCTCTATCCACCTTTCCCGGAATGGTTTTGTTCCTTGGCGTAACCTTGCCGAGAATGCGGTTTCAATGCATTTTACGTTGATGATTGAGTCCGAAGCCGCTGGGTGCCGTAGCGCTGGAGTCACACCTTGTGATGCGACGGCTGCCTTTTTTTCCGTCTCTTGCTCGCTGGTGGATGTGGCGAGCATCATCTAAGATGGGTCTACCTTGCTGGCCCCTCTCTGTTCTGCGGAGCCATCTGTTCTGACGCGGAAGTTCTCGCGCCCTCCCGCGGGGGCCAGGGGCGCAGCCCCCCCCTTGGCCGCGGCGTTCAACAGGGATGTCCTCTTACCTTTTACGTTGTGTTCTGGCAGTTGATTTCTTCATTCGTTTTCTCCACGGGCTTCTTCCTGGTCCTGGATACGTTCTCGCTACTTGCGCTGATGACTTGGCTCTCGTCTCTAAGGATATGCATTCGCATCTGCCTGTATGTGTGCGTCGCCTGCTCTGGGCTGAAGCTATGACAGGACTGCTTCCCCGCCCAGGCAAGACTCTCACCATCACCCCGAGGGACTTTAACCTCTCGGGTGCACACGCGGAGTTCATGAAAAATGGGCTCGGGGCCAACCATCTCCAGATTGCCACCATTTGAAAATATATTGGGATTATTCTTGGTACTCAGGGTGAAGAGTTGTTTAGGGATGGGCCAGGGTGCTCGCTTGTTGCCGGAACCCTACGTATCCGTTGGTTGGGGCGGTCTCGGGGGCAATCTGTTATCGCTTATGATACCTCCGGCTTTCCTGTTCTATCCTAGGTTGCCCAATTGCGGAAACCCGCCATGTGTATTCTGAGGAAGGATGCTGACAGCGCCCAGCTTCTGACTACAGGGCCCAGGAAACTGATGAATACTGCCATGCTCTTCCACCTCTCCGAATTTGGCCACGGCGCCGCTGTTCGTTCCATGGCGCCACGTGCTCGCGCATCTGCCCATCGTCTCGCGCTGAGATCAGGTGCCCTGGGCCTTTTCACCAACGCGCTGAAGAAATGGGGCCCCGATATCGGTTCTTATGCTCTGGTTTGCTTTTCTCGCTTCCGTGAAGGATGTCGCGAGCTGCCTGAATCGCGCGCCTCTGCCTATATGAAGACGGCGCGTACTGCACGGAACACTCCAGTCAGATACAGATTTGGCACCAAGGATTGTCGCGCATGTGGGCTGGATAGTGGTGATCATCTTGTTCATTATTTATCACGTCCCTGTGTTCACCAAGCCGTGAGCCAATCTCTCCCCCATCTTCCCGATCCTGGTCAGGTTGTGCCCCCCTGGGCCCGTCTCTCTTCACATCCTCTGTCTCTCTCGCCTGCCGTTCTTTAGTCTTGCTGCCATTTGTTCTTGTCTGATTGCTTAAGATCTCATCCTTTCTAGCTTCAATTCGCTCCGAGTTCAGGAGTTGTACTGCAGCATCTCATTTTCTGTCCTTGTGAGGGCGAGAGTTAGGGCCAGCGCAGGCAGGTCCCTGGTCGTTCGGCTGCTCCTCCAGGAGGCCGACCCCTTTGCCTCTCGACCCGCGGGCACAGACGCGCCCCCGCCCCCGCCGCTAGCTGCCGCCGCCGCCGCTATTGTAGAGAGAGGTGGATCTTGAACTTTTTGCCCTCGTCTCGTCCCTTTCTTGCCCGCCTGCCCTTTTTTCTCGTCTCTTTCATTGGAATATCCCTTCTCCTCCTCCTCCCCCTCCCCCTCCTCCTCTTCCTCCTCCTCCTCCTCCTCCTCCTCCTCCTCCTCCTCCTCCTCCTCCTCCTCCTCCTCCTCCTGTTCATTCCTCATCTCCCTCCTCCTGCTGCTCCTCAGTTCCTTTTCCTTCTGGATGATTCCTTCCCCGTCGCACCCGAAGGCGCGTTGGCAGGGTGGGCTGGGAATTTGGCCTGAGACTTTCTCGCCAACTTCGCCTGTTAAGCTGAAGCGTGCGCGCGCGTGCATGCGTCTGTCTGCGTGCCTGCGTCGCCCCTCCAGGGGCGACGCGTGCGCCGAGAAATCCTACCGCATGAGCTACGTGACGGGCGCTTTCTGGCCGCGCAGCTCAGGAAACTGTATGCTACAAGGTGGTTGTACTGTGTGTTCGTATCAGACGGACGCCGCCGAGGTGGACACATCGTTTCATTTGCCATCCCCTCCTTGGGCCCGTGTCTTCGCCCCGCCGTCAGTTTTTGTTGGCCCCGGGGGGGGGGGGAGGCGAACGTTGCCGCCAAAGGTCGAGGTACAATTGCCTCTCGACGTTTGTTTCGTTACGCGAGGTGGGTGCAACCCTTTGGAGGTAACTTTCCGGATCGGCGCGGGCAGATCCGACGTCGAAAGTTTGCTGGATCAGGCACACTCCCGTTCAATCCTGCCTAATTCCGCCCAGCCTGGTTGTATCTTCTGGATTATGTGGCCAAGAAATATGTGCCCAAATTTGGTTTAGTTGCCCCGCAATCGGGCGTAATCGTTCTTAGTCGCTGTTGCGAAAACCTCCCAGGAGTTGCGAGGACTTCCGGGCAGGTGGGGCCGACAACGCCTGCATTCGCGCGCGAACTGCCCGCACATGAGGTCGCGCGCGCGCGCGCCCTCGTCTTGGCTTCCCGTGCCGCGCTGGCGGCGTGCTTCTGCCGCCGTGCAAGGCGCAGGGGCAGCGTTGGGGAGGGAGGGGGGGGAGGGACAGGGTCAGGGGAGGCGGATGCATGCCCCCCCCCCCCCCCCCCGTGGGGCATCCCACTGGCAGGCGGGCACGTCACCTGCGCCGGCCACGGTTCTGCCCCTGGAGAGCGGCTTTTGGCCTCACGTGAGGCCTCAGAGCATCCAGAACAACAGCGAAAAACGTCCAGCGGGGGTGCCGCTGCGTCTGTCAGGAGCAACGGTAGGGGTGGAACAGGCCCAGCCAGGGAGGCATCGACCCCCGAAGTCATCGCCAATCGAGGCCTGACAGCCTTCCTCGCCCAAGGGGGCCCTCTCGCCGATCCATCGACGATGAATCGCCCATTCCAGGTCAATACTTCCCTTCCCTGAGCTTATCCTCCCCGTCGGTCCCCCTCAGGGGCGGCAGCGTTGCCTTGCGCAGGGCTCGTTTTCGTTCGTAGCCCCGGTGGGTTTCCTGCTTGCTCTGCGGCACCCGTGCCCCGCGCCGCCCTCGCTTCCTCGGCGCCCCCCGCCGCCTCGAGGTCGAGGAGACGATCCGCGAGCTCCGGGGCCACTCGGGCGGCACCCACTCGACCCCGAGCACGACGCTGGAGGGCGGGGGCCACAAGTTCACCCTGCACATGTTCGACGACGAGGACCGTCGATCAAGCCTTGAGTCGGGCATGCCCTTCTACAGGAGGGAGATTCAAGAATAGTAAGCAATAGTCTGGGGACGATTTGTCAGGCTCTCTTTCTTGGTTGTGCTCTGCTCGAATTTCGCCTGGCTATCTGTTTTGCATCTCTCTTCCAAGCTCCGCCTGGAGGAGGACATGCCCTACCCTAAAGCAAGCGGCGATCGAGGCTCGAGGGCCGAGGCCCCTCTGCGCGCAGTTGCTGGGCCGCCCCCCGGGCCCGGCCCTCGCCTCCGCGGCGGGCCCTCCCGCGGGGGTGGGTCAAGAGGAGAAAAAACACACAGACACAATTCATCGTCGATTCCCCAGAAAGTATGGGAAAATATGGGAAGTGGGGGGGAAGACAGAAACCCAGAAAATATGGGAAAATATAGGGAATCCTGTTATTTGTGTGTATGTATTTGTGTGTCGCAGGGCCCCTTCAGTGGGGTCGGAGCACGCCCCACGCCAGGCCTGGCGGCATGCATCCCACGACAGGCCCAAGGAGAGGGGGTCGGAGCGCACCCCGCGACGACGACGACCCCCTGGACTTCAGTCGGGCTTGTCGGCCCCTCTACAGGAGGACTATAAAAAGAAAGTAAAAAATAGTCTGGGGACGACTGTTTGAGTATTTGTTGACTATTTTGGGGTATGCTTTATTTTAATATTTTGTTCTTCGGAAGTCTCCCTGTAGGGGGACAGGCCCGACTTCACCCTGGACCCAGGCGTCTGGTGGCCATGGGCAAGTCGGGGCGGCAGGTGCCCATTTCTCGGGCAGGCCGCCCGGTTCCGCCCCGCGTCGTCTGGATGTCATTCTCGTCCGCCTCCAGCTGTCCTGTTCGACACGTCCAGTTCGACTCGTCCGCCTCAAGAGGCGGACGAAACGTGAGGGCACTGAGCGAGAGAGGACGAAACGAAAGATGACGACACAAAAGAGGACGACACGAAAGGAGGCGAAACGAACGCGGACGAAACGAAAGTCCACCAGCTTGGAACACCTGGCGCCCGGCTCTGGCCCGGGGGCCATCGCCGGCTGCGCGCAAGAGCGATCCCTTCGCTGGGGGGACCTCCTGGTGCGGGCCCTCGAAGGCCACCCCCCCGCAGTTCGAAGAGGAGACCGATGACATCAGCGGCGAGCGAGGAGGGGGCATGGGAAGGAGCAGGTCTTCTCAGACGGCGGCGGGACTTCTCAGAAGCCCTCGCGCCTTCTGAGGAGTGTACGTGTCTTCGGGGTAGGCTTAGGAAACTGATCAGAAGGCCT